ACTAAAGAGCTGAAAACAAATCAACAACTCATAAACCAACAGCACAACAAAATCAAAACTAAACAAGCAAATTCAAAGAATTGTGGTCCCCCGCTGTCGGTGTCTTAGTGTTTGGGATGCAATTATTTATGCATATTGTAACTGTCTTGTCTGTGTGTCCTGTCTTGTCTGTCAAGATCAAGGTCAGAAGTTCAAATGTCATAATACAACCTGAGAGGTAATGCACATGGGGAAAAAAAAATAGGAAAGCCATGTCTCTTCTGGAGCAGAAGTTAAGGCCAAATTAAAAATTTTAGATAAGTAGGTTGAACTTCTTTAGATGAAAGTCATGAAGTCAAAAATGATAGTTCTATCTGAAAGGTGTCTTCACAGGTGATGCACATGTAAAATATGAAAGCACCATCTTCTCTCATTCAAAAAAAAAAATCATGTTGAAAGTATTGTACGCTAAACTTTAAGGTCAAAAACCATAGTACATTCGGAAAGATCTTGTATCACTTATAAATGCTATACGCCAAAATTGATAGAAATTGGTCAACGGTTCCAGGGAAGAAGTTGAAAATGTTCAAATGTTAACGGACGACGAACGACGTCGGACAAAAACAGATAGCAATTGGTCATCTTGAGTGACTCAGGTGACCTTATATTTAAAACCCCTCTCTCCGCCATATGTACATCTGTCAGTCAGTGCAGATTAAAAAACTGTTTAAAAGGCCATCTTTAAAAACTGTTTCTATGCCCTCTCCCGACCGACTACTAGTAGCTAAAAATGGTCCGACTCAAAACTTTTTAAGCCTTAATAGGAAACGATTTTTTTAAAAATTCATTCCAGGATTTTTTTCATTCCGTCAACAACCATTTTAATCTTATAAATTCCTTCAATTTTAATAGATTTTGAAAATTCAGCAAAATATATAGAAAATCTTGGGGGAAAGAAAAATTTCCCCACCTACCGACCCAATATATATAGGACAACCAAGCATTACTTCAAAGATGGCCTAAAGCCCATGCATGTGCGTATCAATGGCAAGAGCAAATTAATACAATGTTCAACGAAGTTACCCCCCCCCCACTACTCCCCCCCCCCCCCAACTTCTACAAATACTTCTAATATTAGCCTTCAATATATATCAAATGCTTTCAAATGACCCATAAAATCGATATCATGATAAATTTAGGATATACTAATGAAATAATTTGTATACATCAATTTTTCTTTTTCCGTTTTTTTCCCCCTTTTTTGCGTGTTGTCTCTTCTTTTTGGTCTCATTTCTTTTCTTTTTGTTTTCTTTTTTCTTTTCGTTTCTTTTCCTTTGTTTACAGGTTTCTCACCTTTTTGTAATTTTTTGCTCAGAGGCGGATCAAGAAGGGGGAGGGGCACCCCCGGAATTTCAGAGTTATTAAATTTCTATGTATGAGTCACAAAAAAATTGACCTTGGGCCCCTATTTTTCCTTTTTAGAAATTTTAACATTGGTGATAACTTTTGAATGAGAGAGATAGGAAATTCATATTTCATTTGTGCATTAGCTATTGAAGGGGGACAAAAATTGTGAATTTCATGGTCCCTGCCCCCCATTGGGGTTTGAGGGGTGGTGCTAAATTTAAACAAGCAAAATTAATGCAATATTTGAAAATCTTCTTTCACTTCTGGACATCAAGCAGTTGAACTGGTGTCATGATTGTAATAAGCATCGAGCCCTCTACCAAAATTGTAGTTCATGGCCCCATTGTCGGGGGTTCTGGAGTTAAGATGGAGCTCTAATGATCATATAGTGAAAATGCATTAATTCTTTCATAATCTTCTCTGCCTTTGGGTTTTTAAATTAGCAGATAAACTAAGTGCAGGGTTGTGATGAGCAAGGGTGCTTCTTCCAAAATTGTGAAATTTGTGGCCCCATTTTGACTATACATGTATAGCGAAAATGCATTATTATTTCTTTGAAAAACTGCGGCTCTGCTCCTGGGCATCTAGGAGGCAACAAGAGAAAAAATATGTAATTAGCAAGTGTATTTTTTTTTTTTACCAGATAATTCTTGACAGCTTGGTCTAGTGTTCTGGTGCTGGGCATGGCTCTATAAATTGTATTCTACTAATAGAAGTTATTCTCCATGACAAATAATACAAAAAGTACTTTCGTGGTTTTAAATGGTCAGATAGACTTGTAAATAATAGATAAATAAAAATGAGAAAAATACATTATTTATGTACATTAAGGACATACGCAACGTAGTTTGAACTTTATTGTCTTTTTCCCTGGAGTTGAAGAGTTCCGATACTCAAAGGAATTGTGCGCTACTTTTTATGTCTATATGTGCTGTTGTACACATTTTATAAAACAAGTTTGGATAAACAAAACATCTAGAATATATGTTTAGTAATATTTTTCGTTGACTTTATAAGAATTTTCATCAATTGATATCTTTTCAAAACCTCTTGTAATGCATGCTGATTTTTTGACTACGAACATCTGATGGCACTATAATCTTAAATTAAGAATATCTTGAAAAATTATCAGTAGGTAAGGTACGTTGCGTATGTCCTTGAAGGCTCTTCATGCAGAGACCAAGAGAGACCATCGTGAAACGGAATGAAATGGTTTACTTATAATTGCTCAAGCGCTATCGTTTTGTTTAATCTAAATGATTATGGTGACAAATGAGGGCAAGTACAGGCAAGAAGTAAATAGATAAATTTGTTGCGGGGTACTAGCCTAAGACTGATTATTTTTTTAATCCCTGTCTGGGAGAGGGGCTAAGTTGTTAAAGTACCTTTTGGGACTACGGGGGTGGGGGATGGGTGCATGGGGGGGTCAGCCCCTACCTCATCCCAACCAGTTCCATCGCCTGTTTTAACAGTGTTAAAACCGTGAAGTATCACATCCCACCCGAGGGGGCTTGATCGGTAAATAAACACATACTAGTATACTAAACCAAATCAAACAAACAAAACAAAACCAAAAAACAAAGAAAAAAACTAAAACAAAACAAACAAAAATAACAACAACAAAAAAAACAAAGAAACAAACAAAAACAATTAAAAACATAATTGAAGAACAGCTAACAGCTCCAGTAATAAAGCATCGTTCAGTATAGGTTCGTTCTTGAAATATCGCCGTCTAAAATTGCTTGAAAAAAATCATGTGCATTGCAGACCAGCAAAAATAATAGCGTTAGGGTACATGTAGGTGCATGATGTGTCAGCAAAAGAAAACAGTGGTAAATCCAGGATTTTGGCGAATAATTTGAGCATGCATGATTAGCGACGGAAGTGGGAAGGGGGGTCTAGGCATATTAATCAATAACTTAACCCCTCCTTTTGACTTGCAAAAACGAACGACCCCCCCCCTTCCATCCCACATACACATATATTTGCTCGCGACGTGCTTTTGAACAAATGAAGCAATATTATAATAAATACTATAGGCGTCGGAACCGGGGGGGGTGCTAGGGGGCTTAGCCCCCCCACTTTTTTTTCAAAGATAGGCAAAATATAGGCATTGGGAATTGGTGCTTACCTTTTTCCGTTGGTTTAGCCCCCCCCCCCCCCACTTTCAATTAATTTGCTTCCAACGCCGATGAATACAGTACTAATGAAGTAATTCATTTGTATGCATCTATGTATTTTTTCTTCATTCCTTTTTTTCTTTCTCTCTTCGTTTTCTGTACTTTTCTTTTGTTTGCTTCGTTTCTTTTCTTTTTGTCTTTCTTTTCATAGTTTTGCATGTACCCAAGTGTCTTAATTATTTCAAACTTTAAAGATATTTAAGGATACATGACAAAAAATGTTGATGCATGGACTGTATTTTTGACGGATTAGAAATGACATATAAATAACAAGCATTCTGAGAGTACTAGTCCCGTACCGGCAAGTGTAATCTGGTTCCGTTCCCGTTAAGAATTGAAAATGCCATAATTCCGTCAAAAATTAATGAAGCGGGACGAAATGCAAACTTGGTCTATAACTAATCAAGGTAAAGCCACATACCAAAAATCAGCTCAATATCTACAAGCGTTTAGAAGAAAATTGCGGAAAACCCGTAAAAATTGAAAAGGCCGTAATTCCGTCAAAAATCAATGAAGCGGAACGAAATGCAAACTTGATCTGTAACTCATCAAGATACACTCACGTACCAAAAATCAGCTCAATATCTGCAAGCGCTTAGGAAAAAAGTGCGGAAAACCAAGTGGGACAGACTGACAGTCAGACAGAAGGACAGACAGACAGACAGTCGGACGGACAGACAGACAGACAGACGGACGGACAGACTCAGAGGAAACCTGTAGTCCCCTCCGGTTTCACCGGTAGGGAACTAATAAATACCTGAAATATAAAGAAATCGTAATTAAGTTGTATTTGGTTTTGAAATATTTGCGCCTTAATTAGTGCCGTTTTATCTGTTTATGTAAATTAATCTATATAATTTTTTGCACACAGTTAACATTACTACAAAATCTTGTAAAATATTCACAATGATCCTGGCAAGCATTATTCAGGTTACCAATACGAATATAATCTATGTGATATATTGCTGATTTCTGGAAAAAAAAAGTTTTTGTCATTTATCCTTGAAAAAAATATCTGTATAGCGAAAATTTTCGGGAAAAAAAATGTTGAAATACAATAACACTAATTTTCATGTACTTTTGTATCCGCAATTGCACGCTTTTATTTGACTTTGAGTGACTGTATATAATGTGCATTTTGGCTACGATGGAATACGCCATGTGCACAATCGTTCGCGTGCAGTTTTACCTATGTATACATATGTTATCGAAAATCTGATTGGTTGTTTATGTAGAGCGGGTCATGGAGTTAGCAGTTTTAGCGGGAGTTAATGTTATCAACATAACATTAAAATTCATCATTAAAATACACTGTAACTTTATCTTTATAACAATACATAGAATTTTATGTATACCCCTAAGAAAAGGAAATAATTGAACATCGTTCAAATACACTTTGTTGTGTTTATGTGAAACTCATTAATATTCATGAATATGCATAAACATTGGAGCCCATGATGCTTAGACTGTACTTCCATGTTGAATTTTTAACAAGTTTATACTACTACGTTTAGCGCTTTAAAAAGTAAACACGACGTCGTTTAAGGGTATTTCGTGGTCACTTAATGGACACCTCGTCCATCATAACACAAGTAAATCGTGATGAAGAGCAGCTCAATACATTTCCTCCATCGGAAAAAGGTAAGTTTCAGCTCTTCTCTCCAGTCGGACGTTTTCTGTGGCGGAGCACCTGTGCCTCCGCCTGTACAATGTAGTTGATGCATGAAGATTATGGTATATTGCAATGTTCAGACGAAGAAAACAATTTAAACTAATGTTTCTTATATTTGAATTTAGTTACAAATTGATATTTAATCAAGAATGGAAGTTTTTGGTATTGTTTATATTTTAAAAGGGTGAAGGTCACTGTTATGACCGACATGTTTACCATTAAGTTTTTGGCAACTCGGAGGTTATTGGCCACCGTTAGTTCTTGAATCTCTTGGTTTTGAATTTTACTTTTTTAATGGTTTACATGCATATTCCTTAAAAATGTGACTTTCGTTTTTAACAAGAGGTGCCGTTGACGTCGAACAAGTGCCCCGTTAATCTATTTTTAACATGACCCATATATATTGTAAACACAAAGAGGATTGCTTGACGATCGTCTAAGTGAAATTAGGTCAAAGTTCTGGAGACATAAAATGTTACCATCATATTTTGTTAGCTTGGATAAGAGTAAATTCAATGGATACAAATATATTATCGTAAGACAGTTTCTACCGATGAATGAAATGTTTATAGGCGTATTGAAGTAATAAAATCGACATATATGTTAATTATGCCTATATGTCTTTTTTTTTTATATAAGACTGAATAATTTTAATGTTAATGGAGGTTTTACAATATAGGTATAGCTACTCAATTTTTATAGTGAAGGCATTAATATTGTCAGGTTTCTTTAAGTATAAATTTATATATCTTGACAACATGATATGAATGCTGGCATACAATGCAAGTTTGTGGAAAGAACATTTTTTTCTCCGCATCACATTTAATTGTGAAACGTTTACTACAATTTTTAAATGTTTAAATGAACAGCAATAAAAGAAATGGTTCTTTTTAATTGATAGAGTACATATTGTCCGATTTTCCCCCTTTACACTTGTAATCGTTTCACCCTTTATCTCATTCATTAACAAGAAGATGTGTAAAAAATAAAAATTGAGATAGAAAATCTTGTATGTAGTTTGATCATCATGGCCAGCTATCAGGATATCTAGTGGTAGTAATAATAATACTTATCAAAGAGCTTTAAATAGGATGTTCAAGTAATGGACATCTGATAATTACCGGCCGCCAGGAGGCGGTCGGTTATTTGATATGAAAGTTTGAAGTAGTCGTGCGTTTCTGCGGAGTTAAAAAAAAAATAAAAGTATTTAACATTCATATACAATATTAATAAAGAGTATCTAACTGTTCAACAAAATAATTATAAAATTAAAATTAAATAAATGATTGGGTAAATGTTTTATCTGATCAAATCCTGATTGACGACCTCTGATAACTGCGGAGAATATTAGCACACGTGTTGGCATTATCTAAAGCAAAGACCGAGATATGTAAATATATATAATCAATATTACTTTTTCTATTTAAAGAGGAATAATTGTATTTGCTTTGAAATGACATATATACATTTCCTTTGGGATTTTCAAAAAGAATAAGATAAAATTTTAATTTCTTAAACGACAGAATATTGCAAGATTTTTTGCTCCAGCAGACGATGATAAAGCGCGTTTTACAATGTGCCAAGCATTTTCCCGCCACAACTCAATACGTAAACAAAGAAAATGCGTGGCGGATCTAGAGGGGGTTGTGGGGGTTTCAACGCCCTCCTTTGGATTTGCTTAAGAGAGAGAGAGAGTCCCAAATATTTGTGAAGAAAATTAAGTTGTTGTTGAAAAATAAAATCCGCGCCTGCGATGTCGCATGCACGTTTTATTTCACCGGGATAGATTAACAGATTAATATCAGATAAATTTTTAACAGATCACACATTTCAGTTTGTTGCCCCATAGAAGGAAAATTGGTTTGCGGCCGATTTTTGACGCTTGCGTCAATATGTTTCTTGTGTGAACTGATTCACATGTTTCACATTTACAGATTGTTCAGCTCTTTGTATATGATATTGTATCAGTTTATAATTTAATAAAACTAAATTTAATGCTTTACAGCATTTAAATTTACCTGATAAATTCATGAAGCAAGTTTAAACAGACATTAAAATACATTACATTATTTTAATAGATACCTGGCCTTTTCTTAATCTGTTTACAACCTATGACATATTCCAGAGCATTCAGGTATACATTGGAAAGCAGTCTGAGAGAGTCAAATTTCATTAAAGTCAGTTTTGTTGTACATGTATTTACATCAATACACCATAGCAAATTTAAGAACATCCTCTTAAGTTGCTTTATTGTTTTGGTAACAATTAATAGAAATTGAATTTAATGCCTCTACCATTTGAAGCTCTCTAAAGTCTCTTATGACAAATATTACTGGTCAATCCTCTCTTTCCCCCTTTCTCTCCTGATTTTCCATGTTGTAATAAAAAATAAATGATTTTTGAGCAGACTATAAGAACAGAAATTTTAAAAACATGTTAATATGCATATATTTATTAGTTTTTTTGAGATATGCATAAACTATATGCATTTATCGTATTAACAGAGTTGATGTTGCCCAACCTTTTGTTCATTTTTACTTTGAATTCACAGCTGTCAAGTAGATAGAACTAAATTTAGAACATAGAATTAAATTTCAATTACAGAAGCTAAATGGCCTTGATCAGAAAGTATCATGTTATGGTCTTTATCAGAACATTTGAATCTTGAAGAAAAAAAAAAGTTTTTGTTGACATTATGAAAAAATATAATTAAATCACCTCGATTTATCTTCAGATTAAATAACCCATTGGCTGGCATGAATGAAATATATTTCCAAATTTCTGTGAGAAAGGAGAATGTGGTTTACTATTACAATCTTTGTAAGATTTGTAAGGTGTAACAAAATTTACCTTTATTACTTGACTTGTATGTCATTTTCTGTTGGCACGTATGGGATGCTGCAGAGGAAAAAAAAGTATTGGTTTATGTTGTATTGGTTAATTTTAAATTACACAATTAAAAGTTAAAATTTAACTTAAGTGAGTAAGGATAAACCAAATAAAGAAATCAATGTGTGCACATGAACCTAAATCTAGGTAAAACACAGCACACTCAGATGAATTATATGTAGACATTTTTAGGCTCAGTTTGGCAAACAGTGTAAAAGTTTTACCAGTATTTACATATTACATTTTTACCTTGATTTAGAAATACATGTACATATAATGGGTGACAATTTGGCCAGCTTAAACGTGTTGTATGAAAAATGGTAAACATATTCTTCACTGGTATAAGGGGTGTGGTTTCTTGTGGGAAGGGGGAAGTGGGTCAGTGACATTAAGACTCCGATATTTATGATCATACTGTATTGTTTGGAAATGAATAGCGAGAATACAGAAGTGAAGTGATATTGTGGTATAGTTGTAGAGTACAACAACATAACAGCTTATCAACTTCATCATCTCCGTATAATGAGGAAGAAGTGTACTATAATGAATAGCTATTAGGCTACTGCAGGCCCTACCTGTAGTTCACTATCCTACAAGTTCACTATCCTACACATCATAGGGTGTTGGCAGTGTTCATGTGATTTTGGCAAAATATAATTATGGCCCCAGACAGCTGTTTCAGTGTGTGTACATATAGATTTGTACAGAAACACTTGTAAGTTGGCATTGTGCCTGGTATTAGAGAGGCTTCATTTCAGCTGATATATGTAAAGGATAAGAATTAATATAAAAATAAGGCACTCTAATCTGTTTACCTTATAAGCAATGCTTTCATTGCTTTGACATAACAATATTTTCAAGCTCAAATGAATTTCGCAGTGGTCAATAATGAATTATTCTTAGATGTTGGTGATAGTCCTATCAGTATAGATCTGTGCATGTGAAAAGTTCACCTTATGGAAAATACAGTTAAATACATTAAGATTAATAGTGTAATAGTTATTTGGTCACATTTATAAATGGATTTTGAAGTGCAGTTTGGCACAGTCTTGCTGTTTGATTGGCATTTGAAGTCATTTGATGGTTATTGGTTATGGTGGTTTAGGAGCTCTTCTCTGAGATTGGTGACAGTTCCCCAGCAACTATACACTTACAAGTTGTTATGTGATTGTGGAATGTGAAGAGGCAGCAAAATGGAAGAGACTTCTTAAAGATGCCAAATATTGGATGCTGGTCGGGAATTCTCAAGATTTGTAAAGCCTTGATGAAATGGTTTTCATCATCTTTGAAAGGTTAGCTGATGTCTGGAGTTAAAAAAGAGTTGATAATGCAAACATTTTAATTAAGGAATGTGTTCTTGAATAGTGCACATCTTCTCTGTAGGAAAGAAACACATTTTTAAAGTAGATTTAATGGAAAATGTAAACCAGTTTTTTGTTTTGTCTATGCATACTGAATTATTTGTGAGAAATTAGAATAGGTTCAGTATGGAAGATTGTATTTAAAATGCAAAGTTATGAACAGGTGCCCTTGGATTTCAGAAGCAAAGTGTGCATTTATTTAATGTTTAACAACGCTGCTGTTAGAGGGAAGTAGAATGTTCCAAGACGTTGCATAATGACCGTCTGATCAACATTCCTTCCCTGTGTATGGAATCATTTGGTCAGAAAATACACTCTAAGATTATTCAGTGTTTGTAAACACACATTGAACCCATCAATTGTTACTCATCCCTGTTTGTGCTTACATAATATTGCTCCATATGGTTGTAATAGTTGTTAAACAACTGTACCAGGCCACATATCTTTTAACCAACCATGTAATGCAAGTCTCACTTACTCAACTACTACTTGGCACAATGTTTGCCTTATTTTGATGATTGATTGTTTTAAATCCTTGTGGCTTTTATAAGATCAATATTGGGTCAGTTCATGGTCATTCCAGTGATAAACTGTTGAACTGTAACAGTCTCAGACTCTTCCAACAGTCACTTTCATTTGGGTATTGTCAGAATGGGATGTTGAAAATGTTTGTTTGTTCATCTCTAAGCTCTACTTTATGGTGGGAATCTCTTATTCATATATAGGTAAATTATAACTGAAATGTTAAATCCCACTTTCATTTTGATTTTGCCTTGTTGAAATAAATAAAAGGTAAATATGAGCTGTGTTAGCTCATCATGATAATATGATAAGATATTACACATGTTCAGTTCTTATGTCTGGCCCAGTAAGCATATCCTTTCCAAATTTTACTACCTGGTAGAATGTCCAGGGAGATCTGTTTACCTGCAGATATTGACAAAATAAAGTTCTTATCGGAAAAGAAGATCGCCTCACACTGTAGCACTGCCTTTAAAGGAGGGTGATTTATTTTATGATGTTGATATTCAAAGGAGTCTTCCTGACTGTAAATCAATAAACAGATGAACCATGTTCATGCCATCAGATATTATTTCATTTTATTTCTTCCCATAGTCACTCCAAAATTCTTACACTTTCTTCAAGCTCTATTACTGGAAGAAAATTAAAATGTATTAGAATGTGATAGGAAGAAAAATAGTATCAATTTTAGAAATTTTCTTAAATAATTCAATAAACTTGGTCGCAAAACATCTTAAAAATAGGTCAAGATCATGTAATTTTGGGATTCTAGTAGCTAGAAGATAAAAAAGAAAGTTGTTTTATCAGAAATGTGCCTGAATCATTTGCATTACAAGACTATTAATTTCATGTTGTTTATTTTAGGCTCGTCGACGGAGTCCAGCACCAGCTCACTAAAGAAGCCTCGTAACCGTAACATTTTTAGTAACTTTTTATGCTGCTTTGGAAACACAAATAACAACAACACACAGACTACTAATTGTCAAATTCCTGTAGTGGAAGAAAATGGAAACCCAAGGGTAGGCATCAGACACAGTATAAAGACTCGATATTGTTGCTGTTTTATTAAAACAAGTTTTACAAAACTGAAGGATTTTTTGCACATCATAATTTGCAAGGGGAAAAAAAATGAAATGAAAATACTATCATTAATCAAATAAACATGTCTGGTGTAAAATGATATTGTTACATAACAGACCACTTTGTCTGTTTTGAGTCACTAGATTACAAAAGTTTGTACCTACAGAGATAATCATTGATTTTGTACATTGTGCCTTTTAGATTAAATTTCTAATACAAATCTCATATTACTTATGTTGTTCTCTGTGTTGTAGAGCCCTGCTGAAAAGTATCTTCTTCCAGCTGTCCTGAATAAGGACACAAATAAAAAATGTGCTGTGATTGATTTAGATGAAACTCTTGTCCATAGTTCATTCAAGGTGAGCTAGGAGGAAAAATGAATATTACCTGACAGTCAGATTTTCAGTATTATGTAATAGCACTTAAAATTCATTGTTAAAAATTCATCTAAGTGCATTTCAACACGATAAGTTGTACCTTATTATAGTAGTACATGACTGGTGTCTTGAGAAATCTGATGTGATTTAACTTGTTTACTTCACATACCATTATCTATCTCTATTGCATATATTTACAAATCTTATTCTAATAAGATCAATGAAACAGAAAATTGAATGTATAATAACCTGCTATTTCATTTTGTAATGTTCAATGCATTGATATTGTGTATTTGATTTTTCTTTTGAAATCTTTTTTCAGCCAATCAGCAATGCTGATTTTATAGTTCCAGTTGAAATAGAGGGAACAGTGCACCAGGTAAGCCAAGCAATGTTGAATCTCTGATCATATGAAATTTCACCACATCAAAAATCTTCTCATTGCAAGCAGTGATGAGTTACATCCCTTATACAAATCTTCTTTGTTGGAGGTAGTTAAGCTGCAAAAATTTTCTTATAAATTTGACAAAAACTGGCTTCCTGCCTAAGTATCAGCAGCTTTCTTATATTCAGCTCAGAGAGAGCACTAATATTCCCATAAACAGAATGAATGAGTTGAATAGTTTAGTGTATGGTTACTTAAACAACCCTATTTTCTGTAACCGTCTCTTTTTTTTTCTGACACGAAATTGTAATGGCGGCACACTTATTGGTTGGAAGAAGTCTGTGTTATTGCTATCTTGAAAATATCAGCAGGAATTAACATGGGTTCGAATCAAATGCATCTATTAAATGACCTCCGATGTTTTGAAATTGAATTTAATTACTTAATTATTTTTATGCTGTTTAAGACACTTAAATGCTATATGGATCTTGAAAACAATTGTAGATAATATGACATTGTCAATGAGCTTACTGTTTATACGTGCATCATGGACGTAAATAGATTTGGGTCAGACTAATATCGGTAAAAGAACAAGAAATGTCATCCAATCTTTTTAGCTCATCTGAGCTGAAAGCTCAAGTGAGCTTTTCTGATCACCCGTTGTCCGTCATTCGTCTGTCCTTCCGTCTGTAAACTCTTCACATTTTCAACTTTTTCTCAAGAACCACTGGGCCAATTTTAACCAAACTTGGTACAAAGTATCCTTGGGTGAATGGGAGTTTAAATTGTTAAAATAAAAGGCCAAGTTCCCTTACAAGGGGAGATAATCAAGAAAAGACAAAAATGGGGTGGGGTCATTAAAAAATCTTCTTCTCAAGAAACACTGGGCCAATGGGCCAAAAAAGCTGAAACTTATGTGGAAGCATCCTGGGATAGTGTAGATTTTAAATTATTCAAATCATGACCCCCGGGGGTAGGGCGGGGCCACAATAGGTATAACAAGTGGGAAATCTGGTAAAGAACAGCATGGCAAAAGTTACTCAGGTGAGCGATGTGGCCCATTGTGGCCTCTTGCTTTAAAAAAAATTATCAATAACATAGGCCTAGTGGGGGAAATATATCATTCATTTGTTTTATTTAATGTTACTAAGCATAAGCATTTAAGAAAATGATTATTTTCACAAAAATATGTTTGCCAAACCTCTTTTTTATATGCTTATGTTATAACATTCATGTCCATCCATCTGTCTGTCTGTTAGCTTTTTTGTGTCTGGCTCATAACTTTAATACTATAAGGCCTAGAATTATCAAACTTTGTCAGCTGATACTTCTCGGGTAGAAGGTGTGTTTACACATTAAAGTAGGTCGCTCTGAACTTTTATTAAGATGCCATGGCCAAATATGAAAAAAAAAGTCCTGTCCAGCTCATAACTAGAAAACTTTTAGACCTAGAATCATCAAACTTGTCCAATTAATGCATCTTAGATAAGTGTGTTGCACTCTACTTAAAGGTGACTGTGACCTTTAAATTAAGTGAAGTTAAAAAAAATGTAATGTTACAAGAGAAATTCCACTTCTCCCATGGGTGTAATTATCAAGCACTGGTCATGGAGAATTTTGATAGCAGAAAATTGCATGTCAAATTACTTATAAATTAATGTGTTTAGTGTGAGGAAATAACTGGTAGAGCATCTCTGATCAAGCAGGTGTTATCTATATCTCTTGGGAATGGGGCAAAAGGAATCAGCCTCTTAATTGCTTGTGTTGGATTAAATAGTTCTTGTTGGCTAACCTAACTTTCAAAATAAATTTGCTGTAAAGTAATTAACACTAATTTGATATTGTATTATATAATTAAAACTAATATGATATTGTATAATATAATTTTTTATTTTAATTTTTATATCTTAAAAAAATTACAGTGTCATTTCTCACTAAGATGACAATTTTATAGTCTAAAGAATAAAAGTAATCTGTTTTGATGTTTTATTAGGCTGTATTTTAATTTTTATATCTTTACAACAAATTGCAGAGTGTCATGTCTCACTAAGATGACAATTTTATAGTCTAAAGAATAAAGATAATTTATTTTGATGATTTATTAGGCTGTAGCAATATACAATAAACAAAGCTGCAGATGGGCATTTGTTAAGCTCTAATCATGATGGACGATCAAATTTTGATTAGGAATATATAGGAAAAATCTCCCTCTCAGGAACAGCAAATCCATAATTAGTCATATTTATATGGATACATCCTCAGATTCAAGTTTGTTCAAATGATGACCTGGGGTAGGGTGGGGCCACAATACCTCATCATAACTTTACAGAGAAATATATAGGGAAAAATCTGAAGAACAGAAGGGCAATAGTTATTCAGGTGAGCATTGTGGCTCATGGTCTCCTAGTTTTGATATTGTAAAGGAACACAAGAGATGATATTTTTCTGTCTGGAAATCCCCCGATATTTTAATCCAGTCTGCTTCTATTGTTCAAACAGAAAATATCTGTAGAAAAAAAGCTCTCATTTGAGACTTACAAAAAGAACCAGGTAATTTTTTTTAGAAAATTGAATTTGGGATATTTGAAGTTTACTTACGTTTGCTATTTCAGGTTTATGTTCTAAAGAGGCCTTATGTTGATGAATTCTTGAAAAAAATGGGCGAGATGTTTGAGTGTGTATTATTCACTGCTAGTTTAGCTAAGGTAAGGCACATTTTATGTATTATTCACTGCTAGTTTAGCTAAGGTAAGACACTTTTTGTGTATTATTCACTGCTAGTTTAGCTAAGGTAAGGCACTTTTGGACTTTATTTTTCACCGCTAGTTTAGCTAAGGTAAGGCACTTTTGGAATTTCTTTTTTATAAGGTCAGTATTTTGAGACAGTGTTCACAGATTTAAATTTGAAGCAGATACGGGAAATGCCAGAACTAAAAATTGCCAAAATTTATTTCATCAGAGAATGTGTCATTTACATGAGTAAAAATAAGATAACGATAGGAATGTGTAAAAACAGGTGCTTGTACGTGCTTTAATTGTGTTTCAGTATGCTGATCCTGTCGCAGACTTGTTAGATAAGTGGGGCGTCTTCAGGTCAAGGTTATTCAGGGAGTCTTGTGTCTTTCATCGAGGCAACTATGTCAAAGTAAGCAGTTTCTCAACAGCAGGCATCTAATGCATCCATTTTGTTTTATTTTACTTCATTATACATGAAAGTAAATTAGTAACCAAGTTTGGCTTATCATCCAGTGATAAAGAATGTATGAGCACAATGTTGATAAAGATTGTAATATCATTGTGATCTTAGTGTTATCAGCTTATGTTTATATTGATACATCATTCCATAGTGATCTGATACTGTACATGTTAAGATAAAGTTCATGTACTTATATATATAGAAATTTTACACACTTACATTGAATACCACTATCACAAAAAACAGGATTAAGTGACATAAGTGCAAAGTTTGGACTCTGCAAATAAATACCGGTACTAGGCATGTGGTAGTTAATGCCAGTTAAAATTTCCATTTACCATGGAAATGTCTTTATTGGTTTTCTGTTTACATAGAACATTATTTAAGAAAATGTTTCCACATGTATGATGTGGAAAATGTGTACATAGTGTGAAAATAGCTTGTACTCTTCATATACATGGCATTTCCTCAGTTTGAAACAACACAGCAGCTTTTCCAAAACTATTGCTTATTGCCTACTAGAATTTAAAGCCAAACTTTAATCTAGAGCCAGTAAATAATTCTCATTGGCTGTCAATATCTTTCAGGACCTTAGTCGACTAGGACGTGATTTGGCTCAAGTCATCATAATAGACAATTCGCCAGCTTCTTACATCTTCCACCCAGACAATGCTGTAAGTGCTCCCCTGTCATTTATATTAAAATCTGTACTTAAAGCACCCAGACTAAAATCATTTATCTTCTAATATTTACATTTCCAATGTCTTTGTCCGAGATAAAATTACAAATTGTAAAAAATACTTTATTTCTACATAAATCTACTGGTTCATCGATAGGCGTGGTTAAAAAAAATCACGTGCGGGGCGGGACAAATAGAGACAGAAGCGGGGCTATTAGCATGGGAATTTGCAGAATCAGGAGCATGTAAATATAAGGAATAACTGTCAGATTTTTTGGATTTATGACGATGATCAATCGATTGGCTTGCGTGATAATTTTATGCATAAACGCCTTAAAATTAGACAGTTATTCCTTAATTATATATTTATGTTATACATACATTTCATATTTATGATGGAAAAGTGAGGGGGGAGGGGGGCAGAGTCGTTTATATTTCGGGAGTGTTTTGTCAATTTTCACATTTTGAAAGTGCATTGTCTATCTTAAAATTATTAAAAATTAAATTTAAAATCTAACCACATTGTTTATATCTTATGGTACATCTATGAATAAAATATATCTATGAATAAAAATTCCAAATCTTTCATATATGAATGATTATTACTTTGAAATGATTGTTAATGATATGGAACAAAAACTTTGTTTACTAAATGAAATTTAATGTTCTGTATTTCAAATCTTTCATTTTATTTAAGTTATCAAAATTCTTCCGATATAGATTTAGGTAATTTCATGTGATTAGTCTATTCCTTTGTAGGTTGGAGTGCAGTCCTGGTTCGACGACATGACCGACACAGAGTTACTGGACTTGTTACCATTTTTTGAAGGATTATCAAATGTGGACAATGTTTATCAAGTGCTAAAAAATCAGAATCGACGGAACTCTTCATGATGCCAGTCTGCGGTAGAGCCCAGGTCAAACTTCTCTTTGACAGAGACTATAGTGCTTCACAGACACTGCTTCTGTCTGATTTTGTGTGATCCCAGATAGGACTTGAATCAATGTTCAAGAGGTCTTGGATTGTGTGGAATCAGGTGGCTATTGTTTGACCATGCTTGTCTGATGTTATGCAACTGTGACTTAAAATAGCAAACTATAGAGGAAAAATATTTTTGTTTAACAAACGAGTGTTACATACTGTATAGTAAAAGAATATTTTTTGTTCCTTTTTGTACGTGCAACGATCGCATAAACCAAAATTAAGAATTAACTGATTGTGTTGCAGTCTAATATTGTTAGGATTCTTATTTTTTAGAAATTTTTTTATTGTAATTGATTTTAAACAATTTTTAATAGGAAATCTTTACAGTCTGTTGCATCATTAATTTTTTTACGAACAGATGTTTTATTTTACAGATATTAGAATTTTATGTGATTTTAGAGCATTATGGGTGATAAAAAGGAAATAGTGTACAAATGACAACTCTTCATCATTACTAGGGGCTAGTTGATTAGTATGGTTATGTGTGTAACCTTTTTACAGAGAGGCTTGTAATAAACACAGCTGATCTGGTGAGGTCAGTATTTTAATAGATAGTAAGAAATTCTATCAAATATGGGATTATAGAGGGTGATAATTAGCAATATTACAGGGCATTGAGGTAAAAAACATGGTCTACCACAACAGATGTTTAAAAAAAGAAACCTATTCAGCATTTATGTCTTTTCTGATGTGTGGTTGTGACATTTATAATGAGCGGACTTTTTTTGTACCTCTCAATTTGGAATGTATCACTACACGTCCATTCAATAGTTTTGACATTGAACATGTTGAAGATTTTCTAAAATGCTTTCTCTTCTGCTGACCCAAGCAGATACATTTTTTTTTTTTTTTTTTGTAAATCATGATTGTAAAGACAAGATGTATTTGATCAGATTAAATATAAATAAGATTTTTTGGCATAGAAAGATACATCTCAATGGATGAATGTGATTAAGTTTGGTCAATGATTTCAGTGCCTTACTTCATCGTAGCGGTTTTTTAGTTTTTGCTTCAGAGTGTTAATTATTAGTGTTCTTTTATTCAACAAATTAGCTAGCAACAGGGCTCTTGTTGTGGCTTTTTAAATGTTTATCTCAAAGTTTTTTTGTTAATAACAAAGATTTCTATCAATTTTGTCATATTTTCTCAGGATTTTTGAAGTGCCCATTTGCAAAATTTTAATCACATTCTAATATTAATATAGACATCAATATGTTACCAAAAATAAATATTTTTGAATGCTAACCTATCAGAATGTAGGTGAACTATAGCTTAGAAAATACTTTTATGTCCTATTTCTGTTGTAGTGAAATGTTAAGAAATTCAAGTGAATGATTTTTGCAATTTACTTGTAAAATTGTTAACCCAATTTTTTTTTACCTCTCTAGTAAGTTTAGAAGCTATGACTGTAGATAAATATGCACAAATTGATTATCAGCACTGTTAAGCATTATTGTTAACTTTTTTTTCTCTTTGATAGTTTTAAATACCATGTCCAGATCTGGCAGCTATAAATGCTTTAAAGATGGTTTCTGGATTTCTTATTTTCATTCTTATGTTAATTATTTGAAATTCTGTTGAAGTTTCTCTTTTATAAAACAAAATACCTTCTTAGCAAGATTGCCAGTAAAGTTTTGGATTTACAGCCATGTCCTGTGCTGTATATCCTGCTAGCTTTGTTTCTGCCATCTGGGTAAAGGGCATTTAGACATTTTTATTCTACATTTTTCAGGTCAGGAATTTTACAAATCTGTGATATAATTTTGTGTTTCTTGTTTAAAGCTGTTAATTGGCGGTTCTTCCTTCTTTTTATTCTTTCAGATTTCTTGCACTTTTAATGCAAGGATTCTAATTTTCTTGCCTCTTGAATTGCTTTTATTGAAGGAAGGGCAATGACACTTTCAGCAGAAATTTTAGTAACCTAGATATTTTAAAAGAAAGAGGGTAGTTATATATTTTTTGTTTTGCTAGCTGAAGATAGGGCTGATTTTTTCACATCGTTCAAACTAGAAGTCATGTTAAAAGTGTTAGGATTGAGTTTCTTTGTGTAGAATTTCCCATTTTCAGAATAAAATACACCTACCATTAATAGCTGTTTTAAAGAACAGTACAATTCTGGACTTGCAACTCATTTTAAATCCAACTACAACTGATATTTTTTTTTTTACTTGATTGCAACTTCCTTGTATGCCCCCTCCCAGTTTCCAAACCTAAGCAATGCCCTGCCCTCCCACCGACAGTTGTCCTATTAATTAATGAGGGTTTAAGTATTTTGAAGCCAAGTGTGCATTCTTCAATGTGTTATGTTATCTATAAGAAGTATCTAAAAATGTCCTAAACATAAAAATATTTATCTACAGTGTAAATATGTATGCGAGTGTTTGATTATATAATATATATATATATCTATATACATGTATTGAAGTTACTCTATTTTCTTGTACATACAGAATGTCTCATTTATTCTGGTAGTAGTTTTTATCAAACAGGCATTTAAAATTTCTTGTATGCGAGTGCCTAAGTGATGAATAATATTCAGAAAGACTTGAAGAGTACCATTTATTTCTTTTCTAAGTCATTTAATGCAAATTAAAAATAAAATTGTATGCATCAATGATAATGTCAGCATGTTTCATGTATTTTTTGAGAGGGGGAACATGCCACCATCCAGGAGCTAAATCTGATGAACAAGGACTGCTACACTCAAGTACCATAGTATGTTCACAAAGAGTTCATACTGCAGTTAACACTATTCCTATTTTTAAAAATGGACAGACATTTCTTTGAAACAAGAATCATGGAAAATATTTCTGACTTTATGAATTGTGATTTTTTTTTTTTTGTGCTTGTGAGATTATCATTACTGCTTCTATTACTGATAGAGTAAGTATACTGTGTTTTTGGACTTCTTGATCTTGCACAGTTGTGAATTTTTTTACTTGAATCCAATGTTAGAACAGATATATAGGAATGATGAACATGTATTAAAATGTTAATTTTAATTTTCAGCTCCTAATTCAATAGGCACACCTGTATTGCATTTGACTCGATCACAGAACCATCTATTTCTATACTGATTATTTTCTTATTCTAGCACCTCTCTCTCTCTCTCTCTCTCTGATTGAATGTGTTAATATTCTTTGTTACCATGTAAATAGAAAAATAATTTTAGACTTTTATACTGTATTATATAAGTAAACTAACCCTCAGTGGTGTTGGGTCTAGTGTATCCAAATGAATGAAACAACAGAAAATGAATAAAACACATCTACTTTTACCAGGCTCTTTTTATTATTTTAAACTCTGCAACACTCACAAAGAGAATTACTGTCCTCGAAGAAAATCAAACTGAAAGGGAGATAACAATGGAACACCTACTTGTTCAAACATAGATCAACATGCAAAAATACTGTTCTGTTCAAAATACTTTTTCTAGCTCTGTCAAAAGAGATGAAAGAATGGAACTCTTATGATGTGCTTCATTGTTTTTAGCTCACCTGAGCTGAATGCTCTTATGAGCCTTTCTGATCACATTTTGCCTGGAGAAAACTCCAGGGCAAAAAACAACAGAATAATTTTTTGAAATTTTAACAAAGACAATATGGTCCAAAACTCACTTGGGAAACATAATGGTATCAAAGTTTCTGCAGAGGAGAGAGTCATTATAATCCCATATGACAACTCATTAAATGAACAGGGTGAATAGGTACATCCTTTCATCAAATATGTGTGAAGCATACCTGTGAAACATTTAAAACATAAAATCTATCCCCAATGACCAGATCTCATCCTGATTATGAGATTTGATGTCAACACGTTAAACATAAGCACGTTGCAAGAGATAGCTTCAAATGTTTCTCAATTGCAAATTTATTTCCCAAGCACAAACCTCATGCTTTTCCTCTTTTGTGATCTTGATCATACCTTTGTTTTGTACAAAGTACGAGTTTCTAATACTCTTCCTTAAAGTCATAACCAGAGAACCTTTTTTCATATTTTGTCTTAGTGTGGCCACGTGAACAAGTTTGGTTTCTATCTAAATGTTATGCTGGAATAGGACAAAACATCCATATCAAAATATATTGAAGTAGGTCAATTATTATAATCAATGATTAATGATTATAATGAAGCTGATGAGAAAAGTAGTCTTCTAAATACTAATTTTCTGTGTCTTAAAGATAGCAAATCCCTGTTTTATGTAATTAATTTTTTTAATTGAAAAAAAAATATAAAAGGTTAAGGTCAGGAGTTGGTCATTTAACTCTCTTGCATTTGTTAGGTATTGTACCCAGGAATAAATGAAAATTATTCACTGTTAATGTCACACGGTCATTAATATTTGTAATTGTTAATAGGTCTTGTGACAGTAAAGACAAATCCTAAAAAAAAAAAGCCTACCTCTCATATGTCAAAAAAAAAAAAAAGCCAGGGCATATTAAAGAAAAATTGAGAGACACTGGAATAGTCAAATCTGATGTTGGACATGTGATATTTCTCATAAACATTCATATGTACAACATGATCACAATATGATAGAAATTATTCTTAACAAATTCAATAAAAGGTACCCTCTTGGCACAACTGAAATCAACACTCCAGAGATTGAAATTTACACTGAATTGCATTTGTCTGACTTAGTGGAGTTCTTGAGACAACCTATGTTTTGTTGGATCTGAAGACCAAACCTTTGTCTTCTGCCAACAGCCTCAGGCATTAGATCTGACAAACCACAGGGGTGTGTTCCCCGAACGTCTACTGGACTAAACCAACATCTAATTATCACACTCAATTAAGGGGCCCTGTAAGGGGTACAGGTAGGATCTACAATCATTTATGAACTAGCTTTACCTGTATTTATTGAAGGAGGAATTCTACAGCAACAATAATGTTTGACATCTCTTCTGAAACATGGTTTCAGCATGGAAATATTGATAAAAGATATTGTTTTAACATGATTTTTTTTGCAGAGGAAATGTAAAAATCTTGAAGATTTTATGCATTAGTTGAAAAATGCTAAAAATAATGTGTTTTATTTTCATAAATAATTTTTTAGCAAAAATTAAAAAAAAACCTTATCTGATTTTTCTTGACATTTTCTATTAAATATTTATATTATCCATTTATTTAGGGCAAACTTTAAACTCTAAGGGATCTTATTTGCAATTAAAACAATCTTTTCATTTTCTCCTAAAAAAGCCCCCAAAATTTATAAAAATTGATTTAAACTAATATCGATCTTTCCATACTTAAGCCATATTTCAGAGGAGATGTCTTAAAGATCGGTTAAATAAAATTTCCGTGAACATGTAAGTAGCATTCTTTCTTAAACAGGAAAAAATCTATTGATCATATGTAACTTTAAATAAATTTTGCTATAGATACCTTTGTTTTAATATAGTTTTAATCATTTCAAAGCATTAATTTTAAATATTATAACAATAAATAATTTCAAAATCTTTGTAAGTTTGTATCATAAAACTCAATCACAATATACATGTAACTTATTTTGGTAAAAAATCTATCAAGAAGAGTAAGATACGATTATATTTGGAAAAAAAATCATTTTGAATTTTAAACCCCCCCCCCCCAACTTTAGATATTGCTTCCAAACAAAGAGGTAGCAATGGTTTAAACTGGGAGAAGGGGCAACCCCCCAGAGAAATCTAACAAGTAAAATTTAAATAATTAAAAAAAAAAACCTTGAAAATCCTATTTTGTGTGTTCGTGTGTGGGGAGGGGTGGACTTTTTCTGTTTGTAGAAAAATGCCCCCTCCCCCCTTTTCGTTCTATGGACCTGTAAATGCGATGTGAAAAAAGTTCTCCATGTTTAATATAGATTAAACAAAGCTTAAAATGTTAAAATGTGGTTTCAGTGATGCTTCAATTAAGTGCCAAGTGTTAGGTTAAAAAAAGTTATGCTTAATTGAAAATAATTTATAATAAATTGTTTATTACATGTACATGAAAAAATATTTAATTGTTTAGTGTCTTCAATTATAGCAAGTATTTAATCAATAAATCTATGCTTTAGTACACAGTTTTATCAGTAAATATTAAATTATTTGATTTTGACTACTTTGTTCAATCAAGGTAACACAGGTAAACTCTACCTGGACCCCTTAGAGGGCCTCTTAATTGAGTGTGATAATTAAATAGTTGTTTTAGCCAGTAGACGTTCGGGGAATAAACCAACACAGGCTGCTCTACAATCTATTGAATAAGTGAATAACACATTTCATAATCATAACTTATTCCCCCTGTTCAAGTCCAAATTTGATGAAAGGCTCTAGTAACTTCTCCAAATCTTCTACTTTTAGAAAGTTGTAAGGCTTGGTAAATATGAAAGAAGGCCTATCTTCATCAGTTTGCTTGAATCTGCCTTCCTTTAATTTAAGATGCTGAATATCTGTCATTCCAAGTTCTGCAATTGTAACCTGCAAGCAAAGATATCAGAATAAATAGAGAATATTCAATGTTTTGTAGTTGGATATGGAATTTATTTCACAAGTGGGACAGGACTTTTTATACTTTCATGAGTGCAAAGCATGAGTGAAAATTAAAAAAAAATCCTGTTTCACAAATAGGTGAAAAACTTACATATGTTTGTTGGACAACAATTCCAAACACTGAATTGCAATGTATTGACTCCCCAAAGTTAAACAAGAGCTCTCCACAGTGCTGCCCAATCAATTTTTCTGTAATCTGTAAGATGTCTTTATGAGAGTCTCTGTCTTGGGTGGAGGAGGAGGACACCTCAGCTGAATCAGGTTTATATCTTGTTTTATTACTTGGTGGTGATGAGCTATTTTCAGCTGAATCAGGTTTATATCTTGTTTTATTACTTGGTGGTGATGAGCTCTTTTCAGCTGGCAAAGGTTTATCTTTCTTCACCTATAAATCAAACTCAATTTAGATTTTAGGTCACCTGAGTCACTCAGGTGACCTATTGCTATCCGTTTTTGTCCGTCAGAGTGCGTCATGCGATGTGCGTTAACATTTGAACATTTTCAGCTTCTTCTCTAAAAATGCTCAACCAATTTCAACCAAATTTGGCATATAGCATCTATGGGTGAAGGGGAACATAAATTGTGAATTTCATGGTCCCTGCCCCCCTGGGGCCTGAGGAGTGGGGCTAAAACCACCAAAATTAATGCAATCTTTAAAAATCTTATTCTTTACTCCTGGACATCAAGCAGTCATACTGTTGGCATGATTGTATTAAGCATTAATCCCTCTACCAAAATTGTGAAATTCATGGCCCCAGGGTAAGGGGTTCTGGTGCTAGGGTGGGGCTATATACATCATATAGTGAAAGTGCATTATTTCTTTGAAAATCTTCTTCTCTGCTCCTGGGTATTAAATAAACTAACTAAGTACATAGTTATGAAGAGTAAGAGTGCCTCTTCTAAAATTGTGAATTTCATGGCCCCAGGGTCAGGGGTTCTGGTGTTAGGGCATGTCTCTATTGATTATATAGTGAAAATGCATTAATTCTTTGAAAATCTTCTTCTCTGTTCCTGGGTATTAAAAAAACAAACCAAGTATAAAGTTTTGATGAGCAAGAGTGCCTCTTCCAAAATTGTGAATTTCATGGCCCCAGGGTCAGGGGTTCTGATGTTAGGGCAGGGCTCTATTGATTATATAGTGAAAATGCATTAATTCTTTTAAAATCTTCTTCTCTGCTTCTGGGTATTAAATAAAGTAACAAAGTACATAGTTATGATGAGCAAGAGTGCCTCTTTCGAAATTGTGAATTTCATGGCCCCAGGGTCAGGGGTTCTGGTGTAAGGGGAGGGGGGATGGGGGTGGCTCTATTGACTATATAGTGAAAATGCATTAATACTTTGAAAATCTTCTTCTCTGCTCCTTGGTATCAAATAAAGTAACTAAGTACATAGTTATGATGAGCAAGAGTGCCTCTTTCGAAATTGTGAATTTCATGGCCCCAGGGTCAGGGGTTCTGGTGTAAGGGGAGGGGGGGGGGGTTGGCTCTATTGACTATATAGTGAAAAAGCATTAATTCTTTGAAAATCGTCTTCTCTGCTCCTGGATATTAAATAAACTAACTAAGAACATAGATATGATGAGCATGGCTGCCTTTTCAAAAATTGTTAATTTCATGGCCCCTGGTTCAGGGGTTTGGGGGGGGGGGGCTCTATTGATTATTTGCATTAATTCTTTCAAATTGAAAATCTTCTTCTCTACTCCTGGGTATTAAATAAACTAACTTAGTGCATAGTTATGATGAGCATGGTTGCTTCTTCCAAAATTGTGAATTTCATGGCCCCTGGGTCAGGGGTTCTGGTGTCAGGGTGGGGCTCAATTGATATATATATAGTGAAAATGCATTATTTCTTTGAAAATCTTCTCTCTCCTGGATTTTAAATAAACTAAGTACATAGTTATGATGAGCATGGCTGCCTCCTCAGAAATTGTGAATTTTGTGGCCCCTGGATGAAGGGTTCTGGTGTTAGGTCGGGGCTCTAATGATATATAAGGAAAATGCATAAATTCTTTCGAAATCTTCTTCTCTGCTCCTTGGTATTGTTCAAACAAAGGAAGTGCATGGTTAGGATAAGGAAGAATGCCTCTTTCAAAATTCATGGCCCCTGGGTCAGGGGTTCTTTTGAGGGGGGGGGGGGGCTCTATTGATTTTATAGTGAAAATGCATAAGTTCTTTCAAAATATTTTTTCTTCTACTGGTAATAAAGCAAAGAAAAAAGTGTATAGTTATGATGAGCAAAGTGCTTCTTCCAGAATTATTAGTTCATGGCCCCTGGGTAAGATTTTCTGGTGTAAAGGGGGAGGGGGGCTTTATTTATTTAATAACATAGTGAACATGCATTTCTTTGAAAATCTTGTATTCTTCTGGGCATATTCGAGGCAAACAGAGTAAAAGTTTTAATATGCAAGGGTATTTTTACCAGAATTTTGAACACCTGGATTATTTTGTCAAGTATTCCGGTCCTGGCCAGGGCTCTATGAAAATTGTATTCTGCTGAGCAAAGTTATTCCCCTTTGCCATTCACCTTTTATAATTAATCACTGTAAATAATGTATTTGAAAGGTTAATAGAATAAGAGAATTATGCAAGAATATTTATTGTATAATACAAAAAGTACTTTCATAGTTTTAATGAGCAGGTAGACTTGGAAATAATAGATGAATAAAAGTGAGGCAAAAATAACTTATCTTTTTTAATGTTCGTCAAAGGCCAAGAGAGACCAATGTGAGAAGTAATAATATGGGGTTAAAAATAGACATTTTGTTAATAGTCTGCATGGTAATAGTGATAAATGGGGGACAGATAGATTCTATACCAATTATTTTGTTGATGCTTATAATACTATTTATCTTGCTTTTGGGCAACAAAGCTTCATTTATCAGTGTATGGATCCTCTAAATTGTTGTATTGTACTCAGGTGACCGTTAAGGCCCTTGGGCCTCTTGTTAAAATATCTAGATGTCATGGAGATGGTGCCCATATCAAAGGGCCCAGCTTTTAGTGAAACACAAGCAAAATTTGGCAAAGGGAAAGAAAGACCACCAAAAGAAATTTACAAAAAGATCTGAACTTTAAGATAATCTTTTTTTTCAATGTTATTGCACACCCCTTACATAACTTACATTACTAGTCTTTGACTTTAGAGCTGGAAACTTAAGTTCAAGGTCACTGCACACCCTTTTCCATAGAACACTGAATGGGCGAAACATGAATAATATTTGGCCAAGGGGATAGAAAATATACACTGAACAAGGAATTTACACAATGCTCCATTCTGACCTTGATGAGTCAGAATGTTGGTTCAAGGTCATTGCACATCCTTTACAAAAGGACACTCCATGGTTGAAATATCAGTGATAGAGGGCCATGGGGAGAGAAAATAAAACTCAGACAAAAATTAACACAATCTTCTGTAATGACCTTGATCTCTGAAATAAAACAAAGTTCAAGGTCACTCCACACCCTTTTCCTAAGGACACTCTATAAGAGAGGTATGAAGAGGTATGAATGATACTGGACCAAGGGAAGAGAAAATATACCATTGACAAGGAATTAAAACAATGTTATGTTTTGACCTTAACCTTTGGGTTAGAAACTTGCTACAAGGTCACTGCACACACTCTACCCAAGCACATTCCATGTGTGTAACGTGAATGATATTATACCAAGTGAAAAGGAAATATGCCCCAGAAAAGGCATCTAAACAATCATGGACACTGCAAAACCTTTACCCAAGAACACTGAACCATCTAACTGACTGGTGCTAATCAATATATCCCACTTCTTTAAAAGTAGGCAGAAAAATGTAAACTTTCAGAAGATTTTGCATAATTTGGCATCTGCCATTCGAATTGGAAAGCCAACTACAGCTCTCCTTTTTGGGTTAAGATACCCGGCACATGCATATATTTAAATGGAATAAATTCATAATTTGCATTTTGAAATTTCAGAATGAGCTTGAGTCACCATCAAGACAACTTTTGTATCAATTAAGAGCTTCTAGCATTGTCTTAGGTCAAAAGATATTTTCATCTTTTCTTTAATTATCTATCGAATTCCCTTTACCAAAGAATGCTTTGTGCCAAGTGTGGTTGAAATTGGTGCAGTATCTCTTGAGAAGTCAAAAATGTGAAAAGTTGGCATAAAGATGACAGACTAAAGGTCAGAATGGCTCATCTTTTAGTTTAGCTGGTCTTAAAAAATGCAGTATTTACCTCACACACAGCAACCACATACTTCTCCAGTCTGGTGTCTTCCCCCTCTCTGATTCTGTGATGATAATAAATTATATCTGGGGAACCCTTCACTTCTGCTTCTCCAATTTCCAGTGTTTGGACATGTACATTGGGTTCAAAACTGAAATTTTTTAAAAGATTATTTTTAACAAAATCATAAACATAGGTAATCAAAGATTACGAAGCTCACCTCGACGAATGTTATCTTTAAGTAAGGCAAATTTCACGTCATATTTTTTTTACTTGGGAATGGACCTGCTCCAAAAACTTTAACCTGGTCACTCATCTGAAAAATCTAGGTCAAATCCAGCATCCAAAGCAAGTGTGGTAGTGTCCATCCCTAGATGCATCATCCATGGAAGTTTGGTCCAGGTAGGGCTTATAGTTACTTGGGAATGGACCTGCTCCAAAAACTTTAACCGGGACGCCGACGCTAACGCCTACGCCGGGGGTATAGCATAAGCTCATCTCGACTTCGTCGAGGTGGGCTAAAAATGTGATCCCAGTAACATGGTTACTTTAATTTAATATCTAGTC